AGACGTCAAAGACCAACGTGCACTTTTACTGATGTTGTCGCATCATGACGAGGTTAAGCGCATCGTCCTCGGACCGAGGACATGGTCCCCGAATTGGTCCTCCTCTGCAGTGATTCAGCGACAGATTGCGTTGCCACTTGATGCCAACTGGCCCTGGATCAAGCTCCTTCCGGGCGGTCGATACTTTGTGCTCCACCATCCTGCCTCTGTCAAGCTCTTTGACACAGCAACTGGGCAGAATATGTGGACATATACGCCAGCCCACTCAGACGCTATTCGCTGCTGGGAGCTCGACTTACGTCAGGGACTCGATTCTGTATGTTTCGTTCTGGTTAGCTCAGATGAACAGCGGTGCGCATGTAACGTCTGGAAAGATAACTCACAGGCTTACCAATACCTTAGCAATTTCACTATAAACGTCTTACACATTGATCTAATGAATGGCCAGTCGGACGTTTTGATGCGATGTCCACTCCCCGCAGATATGCTGCACCCACCGCCCCCTGTCATTCTCGGGGATCTCTTCGCCATGACATTTCAGCCGGTGCTTCACATATCAGGATTCATCTTGCTCGTAAATTGGCGCTCGAGCGAATACCTGCTCTTCAAACGTTTCCGTGCTCTCCGAGCATGTCTCCGAAAAGTATGCATGGCAACGCCTCACTCCAATTCAGACAGGACCAGTTCTAGTCCCAGGCCATCTCGGCTTCGTGGCAGAGCATGGTGATATGCCAGTGGATCGCGCGCAATTCCTCCAAATTTATAGGCTTGCCTCATTCTCCCTAGTCTGGCGGCCCATCAGTGCAATAAATTTGCACGATGTAGTGTGTGGCCCGGAGGTAACCCCATTCATCTGCGAACGTCTCGACGTTTTCGAGGCCAGGGACCTCACTGTGTATGAGAGCCCCCTTCGCCGCGACACCTTCGAATTCCGGGTCCACGTCCCCATCCGCTACCCGACGCGCTCCATCGTCAGGTTCCTCCTCCCGCGCAAATTCCGTCCCGAGGGTTTCTCCCGGATCCCTGCGTTGCTGTCCTACAGCTTCGATCTCTCTGGCCCATCCCCAGTTTGGCGCTTACGCTCAAGGGAACAAATTCAGTTCCGCGTCTGGGAGGCCAAGCTCAGCTTCTCCCGATATTGCGTTGCCGGGTCGTACAACACCCAGGTTATTGATGGTCTCGTGGAAAGGGAAAACGTAGAAGAAAACGGAGGGGCGCGGATGCTTGACACACAAGACCGTGCGGGGATGGGGCGGATTCGCTATTTGTCTCCGTACAGCAGTGCAGTGGTGAGTTCCACGGCGTATTCTCTCACTATATACTATCATCTTTGAGTTTACATGGATCCGGTGTGCGCCATTCGCTAATTATTTGGCATGTCCATACAACTGGAGGTCGCGATTGTTTCTTCTAACCCCGAGGGGCAGTGAGACCTACAGAACAAACCCTGGTTAAAGCCACACCCCGCGTAGCTCCGGTGCGGACAATCGACTCTGAGAAAAGTAATCGCCTCAAACGTAGTGACTCCACCCCGAGTCCACTGGAGAATCTTCTGCAAGAGGGCAAGCGTTCCCCAGCATTCAATGCAGAGGCGGTCCGACCGCCATCGAGCCGGTATTAGGCAGAGTGCGTTCTAAGTTATATCAGCCGTGTCAGGAGAATGCAGGATATTTTTCAGGCGAACGATGAAATGGAAGGCGTTGCATGCTCCGGCTATAATAGGGGAGTTCAAAGTAAAACCGCGCCGGACGCTGCTTCGCTGTTTTCGCCGGACGCCGCTAGTCAGGTGACTTCGGCAGCTCGGCTCGCATCAGCTCGCGTCAGTCGCTCGCGTCCACGGCTGTGACTGGTAGTCACTACTGGCAAATTTTCATTGACGTTTTCGCCAGGACTATACCTACCCGCTTGTTCCTAGCCCACAGTCTTTATCATATTCTATTATACCCTCTCTCTATGGCTCCACCTCTCCGCAGATCTCCCCGGAAACATAACACGAAGGATTGGTACCGTGTCTCGCGAATTGCTCGGAGTGTCTCTATAACGACGATGAGCTTTTCCAGTAGCGATTGGAAGTCCAAGGTCTCCGGAGGTCGGATGAGGTCGCGCATGACCATGTGGGTCATATAGCTCCGAGAAACTTCAAAATGGTGGCTTTCCCGTGGCATTTAGCAAGCGGGGAGGACCCTGGAGGTACTGGGGAGGTGATAGCAGGGGGGATCTGTGTCCTATCAGATGTTCTATCCACTTAAACGGTGTCTGTGTGTCTGATTACTTATCGACGAAATCCATCATTATATCAGTCATAAGGCAGTAGTGACTGTCAGTCACAGCCGTGGACGCGAGCAACTGACGCTGATGCGAGCCGAGCTGCCGAAGTCACCTGACTAGCGGCGTCCGGCGAAAACAGCGAAGCAGCGTTTTACTTTGAACTCCCCTAATACCAGCGGTGCCCTGCAGGTGCTGACCGTTCGCCATCGAGCCTGGTTAGTTCAGAACAGAAACTCCGAGATCTTACCGGCCGTGGCCAGCTTTTAAATTCCATGAGATGCCCCTCTGAGGCTTCATATAGAACGTCCTCAAGGTTGAATGCACTCGTGCTGCGCAGCGGTCAAAAGGTTTAATTTTAGGAACTGGTAGAAAATGTCAGAAGTTGTCCATATATTCGGCGAAAATTATCCGAGCTGTGATGTACTCCATGCAGAAAAACTAGGCTACAGAGGCTGGTATGGCAAGCGAATAGATATCCAGTCAGTGCTACAGAATCCTAATACCCAGAAGGAAAGATGACCTCGCCCTAGTATTGAATGGTGAGTTGCGCATCCGTCGGTCCATCCACATCAATTGTCGTCGACAAGCCATCCGTCTCGTCGTTCACCACGTCCCACGTCACCGCTGGCGTCTCCCCTCCTACGAGCTCCAAATTTATCCCAGAGAATACGGTCGAGCCCGCGGGGTAGTCACTCGGGCCCGTCACCGCGTACGCCTCCAGCGTCTCCGTCGCCCACGCCAGCTCTTCGCCGCCGTCGATCTGCAGCGCCGTCTTAGGAATGTTGGTGAACTCTGCGCGGTAGTTGAATGTGCTGTCATTCGTGCCTACGAGCTCAATGAGCCCGTTGAGCGTCTGCCCGACTTCCACGGGCACGAGCGGGGTGAAATACGTCTGGTCGCCGACGAGGTACCACGTGGCGGCCGCCCAGAACGCGCCACCGCCGGCTGCGGAGGGCCCATACTGCCACCGCTGTTAGAACCACCGAAGGGACAGTGGCACAGAACATACCTGGAGCACGGGCTGCATGATCCCATCGAAGCTGGCCGGCTCGATGGAATTGAACAGGAATATCGTCTGGTCATTCTGAGTCGCAGGGACATCCGGCACAGTCCACGTCGTCGTGAAAGTTGCGATTGGGGAGTCGGCTGTATTCATCCAGGAGGCGTATGTGACCCAGCCGGTTTCTTCAGGGAGCAACGCTGCGGCCGATTTCGATGTACTCGCAGCGCTCAGGGGTGAGGCAACGTGCACAACCGTGCCGGTCTCGTCGAACATGTGGATCTTGCCACCGACGTGCGCGATACGTCCCCCGCTTGGGACTTCTTGGAAGTTCGCGCGAGCGCGGTAGCCGCCGGGCATGAGCACCTTGTCCTCAACGGGGGCAGCGATCGTCATGGGGCTGAAGAAGATCGCGAGGACGGCGCAGGCGCCGAGAGCCTTCATTGTGAGAGGAGCGGTATACATTCCGATGAGGCCCGTGTACAGAATCTGCAGACTCATTAGCGGTAGTGGTCCCCTCACTGCGGAAGAGACGCACCCAGGGAGCAAGGACCGTCGAGAAAGCGGTTGGCCATTGTGCATGTCAAAACCACTTTTATTAAGTGACGGTGTTTCGGTCGCTGTTGCCTGCGGAGAGGGAGATTACCAAGGAGATGCGGAAGTAGGTTGCATGTCGCACCGCATGCCCAGATCCGTTTCCGCTGGTGGCCCGCCACCAACGCAGCAACGACGTAGTTTCACTCAGAATGAGGTGTATTTCTTTGGCCAATCCAAGGTCTTGTACTGGTGATGAGATAAGTCGCGACGTCGTAAAGTCGGCCTGGGTAGATGATTTGTGATTCGAACCTCTCGGGAAGGGAAGAATAGGTTGCAAGCGAGAAGAGAGCCAGGCGGTGGAAAGCTTCTGTGTTGGACGCGTCACGCAGCTATGTTGCCAGTGTATCCCGGGCGTCGTAATGCAGCAACGAGGCCAAAACGAGGCTGTATGATCCGATCAGAGTCATCCAGAGTTGTACGAGTAACGGTCCACAGACAATCGAAAACCAGAGCACGGCACCAGATCAGGTTTTCGTTTCCTCTAACGGCGAATACGCCGCAGGATAGAGAGTTCGGCTCGACAGAGGAGACAGCAGTAGTTCGCAGCAGTGCGATGACGAAGGATCAAAATTGGGTCCACAGCCTGAGGTAAATCAGATACAGATTCATCTGAAGCCACCATATCGACACTGGATTTGCATTGGACAGGGCTTCCGGAGCTAGTGCCACATCACAGATTCGACTGTGAGCAGAACTGAAATGGGAAATGGCTTTGAATGCGGCATAATGCCATGCGAGAATCGAAGGCCAAAACAGCTGGCTCAGAGAATCAGAGATAAGAATGCGCGGGAAAGTCAAGATCTGAAGACGAGCAGGCGTCGTCCGAAGTAAAGGACAGACGTGGCGCGACACTGCCACACGTGGTCGGGAATTTCCGGCCGCACTTCGGCTTGAGAGAAATCTTCGTGAAACCGCAAGATATTGCTCCTTGACAATGTAGAAGGATCTAACCATCCTTTTAAACCAACTTGGTCACTGATTTGTGTCATACTCATAATTTCTTTTGAACGGCTAGTAGTAGGGAATGACTGTTTGGTGGCACATTAGGAAAGAGTTTCTGTAGAATGGGTGCCGAGCTTAAATTCAACCGCTGCAAGATGCCTTCAAGGAGCACTTACACTCCTCCAATCCAGATTCGGACATGGTGCAATGGATAGCACAGCCTCGTAAATTCTCCCATGGGTTGGGATGAGAGACAGACCGAGGTTCGATTCCTCGTGGCCGTCATTTTTTGGCGAGCAGTCTCTGATGTCATTCCCGGATTTATTTCGAACAAATTGACGCCCCCTACTCTATCCCACAATCAGCATATTCTGGTGGCCTCCAAAGGAACAGGGAATCAGAAGGTTCATTGGGAAATTCAAAGGAGGAATGGACGTCCTCGGTAGCATCAAATCCAGGGTAGAGTATAATCAGAAGAGGTTAGCAAATTTAAATTCGTATGATCCTGCTCACACCATGTGGGAAAGACTCGATTCAGGCATCCAATTGCACAAGCTGTCTCATTGAAGTAACTATCAATCGATAGAGTAGGGCCTAGTTATCACCCAGACTCTACGAAGTCAATGTCGACGGGCTCGGCTCCATCACTGTAGAACCGCTTGTCCAGCGTCCCGGCCAAATCGACCCTGCACTGCGAAGTGTAAATGACCGCTAGGGTGAGATCTCCTTCCGAGTCGCGATCGGGCTCGTGATGCCAGTGGATGCAGAACGATGATGCGACGCGATCGATGAGGGGCACTGCGAGGTCATAAAGGAACCCCATGCGCAGGGATAGATCGTGTAGCACCGCGCGTTGTTCGTAATCGCCGATCTGGCCATGGCATGTTTCTGTGACGATCATGGTCTGCGCGGGGGGCTGAGTGACCAGCATGCGGCGCCAGCTTGCTTCCTTCCGCTTGAAAGCATCGGGTGCTTTGGACCATGGCATCGCCATGATCGTGGAAGCCTGGCCGGACCATGACCAGCGGTTTTTGCCTGCCCCTGCGAAGAAAGGCGGAAACATCTCCACTAGCAGCGGGTTCCGAACGGGTTCAGAGTCAGACCGGGGGCTGGGGTCTGGCTGGAAGAAGAGGGCACGCTGAAGAGTAGGGGAAAGGGTGATGATGGCCTGCCACGCTTTGCAGACGAGGGGCGCGGCGACGAGTAGATAGCGCAGGGGTAGCTGAGCGAGAATGCGCTCGAGAAGCTCGGATGTGGACATGACGGTGTCTCTCGCTGTCGACATGGGTGAAAGTCACTGAAAGCTGTCCATAGTTCCTACCAAGTTCCTACCTCATGAATGGGTACGGGATTAATGAAGGATGGGGAGGGCGGGATTAATGAGGGGAGGGGGTGGGCGGGAAGGGAAGAGGAGGGGCGCGGTGGCGGGAAGAAGAGGGGTTGGGTGTTTGATGTTTGGCCACCGCCGGCAAAAGCGGCGCGGGCCACGTGATTCGGATCGTCATTTTGGGATTTATGCATTTCGACCGAGTGTTCAGGTGACACGTGACGGCCGATTTTTCTGAGGTCGTTAAAAATCGGGACAATTCAAAAGAAAATTTATCGGCCATCTCGGTGAGTGAAAATTCCGAAATTAATGAACACTTGGTCGAAATAGTACTATTAGAGACCCCTTAGTTGGCCACCCTACTTAGTTGGCCACTTGACTCCTATAAGACCAGGGCTTCATAATTATGACTGGGCATAATGTATAAACAGAATACGACCTCCAACGAATGTTCAGACCAAATTTCAGCCGAAACTGATGGGTTGATCGGGAACTACGGCATCGCGGATCGGGATCCGAAGCGCGGGGACATCAATCAGACCTCTCGCCTCATTTGCCATGGCCATTTCTCCACCATTTCTTCCTCAATCCACGACTTTGGGGGCTCATTCGGATCCCCCGATGCTGGCCTTCCATCTGAAGAGATACTGGATGGCAACTGACTGAACTATCACTCTTAATACACCCGGTAAAAGCACGACTTCATTTGTAGGCCAGTCATGCTGGCACCATCGCGGTCCACGACATCACCATGCCATCGGTCTGGAACCTTACACAGGACTTCTTAATATACAATCCTTCATTCCGAGACCCTTTTCGAGATTTTATCCAATGACCTCTGATTGCTCTGGAGGCCATTGTCCAAAATCACCAAATTTCAGTCGTGCTGATAGTCGGATTTTTTGGAGGAGATGTCAGCAACTTGGAATGGATTTGGGCATCCAGGTACGTCCAAATACTTCCCATTAAGTAGCCTGAATCGTAATTTGGGCCATCGCGCCCGGTTTCTGAGTAGCAGAACACTCATTCATCCCGCGACCCTAATTTCGAGGTTTCCCGTCAATCGCAAGCATGTATTCTGCCCATTTCTATACCTCATATCTACACCATAACTGTTTTAAATAGTGAATATAACCTGTATATATGATTCTGGGTGCAGGCCACTGCCATTTGAGAGCTCAATACGTTAGTTGGCGGGGTGGCCAACTAACCTGTTGTTTGGCTATGTTGGACTGCCGGTCAAAATAAATTCCTTACGCACTCAAATCTTCGAGTATTTCGGTGCTGGCGGACTCGAACTCTTCGTAGGATGAATGCCCTCATTCTGATATAGTTTGGCTCGCATCGGCACCGGTATAACACCAGGGCTGCGGCATAAATGCTTAAGTGGCCAACTAAGGGCCTGATCGGGTGCACCAGAAACTTTTTTCAGAATCTCGGCTATACGTACTTTTCTCACACAATTCGTCCCTAAACCAAGCCAGAATGGGAAATACATGTCTTTCTTAAAATATGGCTGAGATGGAGTGGACGGGAAGACATGGCTTCAAAATATTCAACACATTCTGTGTTGAACTCAGAATCTATTGCACAATCCCAGAATCCTGAGGATAATTTGAGAGCACATTTTTTCTGCCACTCCCGGTGCTCAAGTGTTTATGGAATAGCTGTATTAGTGATTCTACGATGGTTTAGGGACGAAATTGATATGCGTAAAAGATTCTAGCAGATTCTGGAAAAAGATTCTGGTGCACCCGATCAGGCCCTAACTGGTCTCAAATAGTACAGTAATCACGACTCTTCTCCGGTTCCGCTCACCCCCGAGGGCCGGGTTCGTTTGCGCGAGGTTAGGACCACTCTTCTGTGAGCCAGCGTCGACGACTTTGAATGCCCAAGCGGGACTCGTCATTCTCCGTCATACATCACTCTGCTACCTGCCAAGAAACCGCCAAGAAAAGCCTTTGGCATTGGGGCCGCTACTGTGCTCTCGCGTCCCCAAAAGCAAACTTTGCAGGCTTGTTTGTGCTCACGCAAGTCGCGTCCGGTGCGCATTCAAAGAAATAATGCTTCCCAGCTCTACCCCCGTTTTTTAGGTCGCAGATCCCGAAAATACGACCCGCCGGCGGCTACAGAGACGGGTTGAAGAGTTATGGCAATGGGTTGGCAGTGGCTCAGATAAACATTTTTTTCTGTGAGTGCTTTGAATACTTAATTGATATTTTTAAGATCGTTCATACTCTTCTGCTGGTCGGAGAATGCATTTGTAGAAACGGCTTGGCCCGCGGAGGCCGCGTGCTGGAGATTCACCTACCTTTCCTGGAGACACCGGCGAAATTGGTAGATTAAACGCTTACCCAGAGGCCTAGCTGCCCAATTTGAATGTTTCCGACCGTTTTAGAGGTCACGGAATCCGAATCTTCGGTTGTCCGGGCGCCAAATGTACGCTGTGGGTCCCCAGACCCACTCTCTCTCGGTGGGCTTTGGAAAACTGCCTATACGGTGTGTCCGTCGTATCGGTGTGTTACTCCACCCTTTTCGAGGTCGGGAAACACGAGTAGCAGATCCCTGGAGCCTCAAAACGAGTCCCTGATTTTTTATAGTTGTCCCTTCCAAACCTTGTTTTGGCGATTTTTGTGCTCGAATGTCCCACCCAACTAAGCCTTAGCCTAACACGGAGCCCTTCAAATCTTGATGATAATATGTGCCTCCGTAGCTATCGTTGAGTGCGGTGGAAAATGGTTCGCCTCTCGTGTGTTGTTTTCTTCGCATTCGTATGAGTTAACCTCGATTTAACTCTCCCTCCTTCGTATTCACGGTGACATGTTCGCAAAGCCGTCGTGGACCACGGCCTGCAGTGCGAGGTAGCGGCATTACCCAATGCACGTATCTTTATTTGAGGTCTCGCGTGTTCCCGACCCCAGGTTACGGTCCAGAATCCTCCGAGGGAACCGGAGTCCCGGTTCTCGGATAAGATAGTTAGTCCACCCTGGCCTACAAAAAAACACACGTCGACAAGCGAAGTGGACCAGGACCGAGTCCCGAACAAATCCGATGCCAACAATGTCGCCTCTGGTCCTTAATGGTATAGGATGGCGGATCCTTATCCTCGTCACTAATCAGAACTTCGCATTGAATTCAGCGTGGCATTTGCGTCCGAAGTGGAGGATGCCGATTTTCCGGCCACTCAGCCTCGGCCGCGAGTTCGGCGAACAGTGTCTCCGAAGCCTGCGGAAGCAGGCTTTGCACCTCGAGCGGACCAGAATTGGGAGAAGCATAAATTTGACCATCGAGCGTGGAAAGCGATTGCGACAACCGGATAACGAGAGATCGATTTCCAAGGAGTACGGCGGGAAACGCAGTGAGTGAACAGTCACTCTAATCTAGACCCATCGACAGGAGGCTGGGAGCCAGAGCGTCTTCTGAGCGTCAGGAGCATGCATTATTATGTGGCGGAGCACCAGTGGGCCCGCGGCAGTATGAAGGTGTGGAGCAGAGCGGTATGTCCGTCCAGCAGGAAGGAGAAATGTTTCCGCGCCAGTCAACATTTAATGTCCTCCCACCATAGAGCGATGGAACTCACCGGGTTCGACCTCTGCAGACTAGATTCGTTCGCGACCCGGGCGCTGCTCTTGCCATTTTACTTTCAGCAATTCAAGTTCGACGGAGCCCGAAGACGCGGAAGGCAGAGATTATAATGTCGCAAGGAGTCCCGTGAAGCGTTTCCTAAATGCTGAATAATAGGAAAGATGAGCTCGCGAATTGACAAATGGAAAGCAGGATACATAGACTCCGAATCGAACTTTCCGTTCCACGGCCCAGTAACTCGGATGCAAGGACGGAAACTACACCCCCGTCCTAGCCGAGACATTCATCGCAGCTGCGAACCATTTCGCACCCGGCCCTTGCCAATACAGCGTACGGCAGTCTTAGTGTCAATCATCTAAAATAAGGACCACT